TCCGTCAACCACATGAGCCATCTAGTATCTGATAACACGAGTCCTACGAACAAGGTACGGAGTTGAACAGATTGACGACAAGTCTAGCATGGAAGATAAGTCATCAGTCATCCTCCGGACATTGCAGCTTTCACAACCGTTTCTACAATGGACGTTGGGGGATCACCGAAATCAACGAGCCCCGGTTAGAAATGGAGATTGCCGTTGTTTTGGACGACAATCAGGTGAACAATGCGCCTCGCTCCAGCTCCAATCCAGCCCACGAGACCTCGATTCTCAATCAGAGTTTTCTAATTGGGCACCGAGCCCCGATCCGCCTTTGAAGTGGAAATTCCTTCTTCAATTCTTCGGAGATGGGGAGGGTCCGGCGATCAGCGAAGGGACACATGGGACTCCATCCCGTGAAGTGGACTTTTTTTTTCTGCTTTGCTTGACGGTGGATTACTCCGTAGACACATCCCAAGAAATAGGCGGGAAAGGTAAAAAGTTGCTGACATCCTGGCCTCCCCGAAGATTGATTACAAAGGACGGAGGGCTTCCACGATGGCTTACCTTACCTTACCTCACCTTACATGCCAGCTTGTCGCTACTGCCAAGCCATGAGTCGTAGCATGACAATGCTCGGACAACGCCTACAGCACAAGAAACGCACTACGGTCCTCACAAGAAACGCACTACGGTCCGTTTTTTCAACCTTCCCTGACGCGGACCTCCACCGCCAGCGAGGTTATCGCCAGCTGTCAGCCATGCAAAGAACACAACCCCTACTAGTAGCCACAGGGCAACACCGCGGAACCCCCCTCCCCCCATGCAAGCCAGCAGGCAGCGAAAGCCGGGACAAACGCGCGCGGGACTTCCCATCAAATGGAAACATTCTACGGAATTTCGAACCTTCTAAAGGGTGGGGCCCTGCAATTTCCCGCTTGTAACGTCGGCATCCAAGGTCGGCTTTGGATAAAGGTGAAGCTACAACTACTACTACTTCTCTCAGCCACGGCTAAATGGCACAACACACGCTCTCTCTCTCTCTGCCGCGGGGGGTTTTTAGACAAAACGGGAAAACATGTGAACATGGGGCGCCAACTTGACCCGTTGTGCCGAAAACCACCAAGGCGTTGAGAAAAGCCGAAGCTGTTCCTCGGTCAAGTAGCGTGAAAGGGAACTTCCGGCAGTCGGTGCTTGCTCGTGTAAATGTGATGGGTTGTTGGCCGCGGCTGATGGTGTTTTCGCTTTGGCGTCGCAGAAAGTTGCAGCTGTGGCTCGGTGACGTACGAGACGGCGTCGAAGAAGCCTTCTTTTGCAAGAAACAGCGCGCTTCTTGTTGTTGTCATCGCCACGAAGAGGCCATCTAGCAAAAGGCGTTGCTGAATCCTGAAAGGCTAAAAGGCGATTGCGCGCGCGAACGAAGAGAAAATGCAACGCTTGGTAGGGCAATGACAGCTGCCAGCAACGGAACACTGAGATCTCGGTTGTCGCAAGGGGAGGGGAGGGAGCAGCAGTGAAAGCTGCCATTCAGCCGGCCGACGGCTAGGCACCGGCAATCCTCCCTAAACATCCGCTCGCCCTAGCAATTTACACCTGAAGCCCTCCCCCCGTGTCAACCGGGCAGTCTACGACTCGTAGTGGTAATGGCCAGCTCGAATCGCGCGCGCGGGCAGCAATTTGATCGTGGCGGACCGACGCCTTGGATCCCTTCTGGTTCCCCGTGCCTTGGTAAATGAGCTACTCTTCCGGCATCTTGGGAATTGGGCCGCCTTGCTGGGGAGGGGGTAGACGTTCAGCGACGGCTCGAATTTCGTTCGGGAGGACTAAGATTAGACAGCAATGATGGCGTCAAGCAAAAAAAGATGAAGGGGGGAGAATTGACAAGATGGCAGGAGGAGAATGACAAGCCAAGGGGGGGAGGGGTACGATAGTGCGTACCATGCCTAACGGCCATCGCATGAAATTGCCGAGTAATAAACGCTGTCCTTGACCTTGTTGCTTTGTTCTCCTCAATGCAAAAAAAGAAAAAGGCTGCTAAACAGCTGCACGCCCCTAGCTTTCTTCAGCTTCAAGCTGTTAGCTTTATTACCCCGGAATTTCATAGAGACAAGACAGAAGAGCGTTCAGCCGCAAGCCACAGAGAAAGGATGAAACAATGAAGCGACGAAAGCGCACCGGCGAAAAAAAGCAACTCTGAACAGGTGTGGCTTGGCGCTCATGGCGCTCTTCCCCAGCTTATTAAACGGGCGTGACGAGGATGCTGTTGATTGGATGGCAGCGCTGAGTCATTGGCTTTTCCATCCCCAGCTGCCACGTTTGTGGCGCATTGGCCGCCGTGCCTCAATTTGTCGGATCGCTTCCCCGGCCCGCCTCGTCCGCATGGCAAGCGTCCTTCCCCCCCCACTCATGTAAATGAACTAACCAACCCCTGGGAACTGCTGTTCCTTGCAACAAGAGACAACCCTCCCGGGACATGGATCGTGGGTTTTTCCCCTTTGGGCATACGCCAGAGAGAAGAGACGAGACGAACGCTTGGGGCACGTTCCCTCTTGATTTCCTTTCCTTTTTTTTTTCCTGACCTTCCAAGGGCCAGGGGAGGGGGGCGTTTACCAGCTCCATGGAACGTCGCGTGAGTCGCTCCCCTTGTCCCCTCATCAAACTGACAAGCTCTATGGCCCGGCTTCTCCCAAATCCTAGTCACCGGGTTTGCTTCCGGTGGGACAGTAGCTCGAGCTTTGAAGCTATATCCATGTCCGTTGCTGTCTCGTCTCGCTGGAGTCGTTCCTTTTTCCCATACCCGTTTTACAGCTCCGGTTTCCTGGAGTCTGGTTTCTGGGTCCCGTCCTTGGTATCGCCGACGGACCGCTACCAGGATATCTCCATCATCACAACTCATTTTTTTCCCTTTCTTGTTGTTTCCTCACTAACCGTCGTCAGTCACTTGTTCGCTCTTCTCCCTTGCTTAACCTCTCCCCCTGAGGTGACATGTCGTGCAGGAGAGATTTATCACATGCCTGAGTTTCTTTGCTTTTACTTGCGCTGAAAGCAAGGGCAATAACCGGGCCTGAACCGTGGTCCTGGGAACGGACAGAAGAGGCCAAGAAGAAGTCAAGGAAATCGTCTATCCGACTCGTCGGGCCGGGAAATTAGAATGAAGCTCAAGAACGTGTAGTGCTACGCCTTCAACACCGGCTAGAGGGGTTGGGCAATCAACGTCAACTGTCAACATGGTACAGAGTCGTAGCAGCGGCAGCTAGTAGTAGAAGCTCCCAAGTTCGGTCCGCAGGCGGTAGCATCGCAGGGGGTTCCCGTCCAACTCTTCTCTCATTCTCCCCCCGTCTCCTCCTCCCAGGCTATGTTCCTACAGTACACGCCCTGCCCTGTCGGTCTCTCTCCGTGTCCCGTGTTGTCGGGTCCGCAAAGTTGCGATCCGCCCATTCCCTCTCGGCGCTCTTTTTTACCCACCGAGCCAGTAGCAAGAGAGCCCAGACCAACAATCCCTGGCTCAACTCATTCCCAAACGTCCACGCTTGTCGAAATAAGGACCCGCGGATCCTGAGCCGGTCGACGCTATGGTTGGCAGCTTGATGATTGAAGGGGGGAGAGAGCGTGCATCTCCACAGTTGGCCCGAGAACTTGGTTCCTGCAGCTTGGGACCTTTTTTTTTCCCTTTCTTTCCCCTTGCGTCTTTCGTGCCGCGGCGCGGAAGGCAGGGTCGGGGAGCGACGGATCCCATGCAGATGCCTAAGACGAGCAGGGGCAAGACAGGGAAGAAGATGCCCAATCCCAATACTAGTATGTTTTACGAGGAAACAGTAAGCAGAGAGAAAAGGCAAGACGGGACGGCACTTGGTGGGAGTTGGTG